CCTACATGGTTGTAACTTTTGCCTTGTGACACTGCACCATACTTGAAAATTCAGTTTACCATGAAGCTGCAGAATAAGTTTCTGTTTGGGAATGTTTTGGTCCTATTGTTTATCACTGAGATTGTGGGCTGAAGTGGAAGGAATCCCGTTCTCTTGGCTATAAGCAAAGTCACATATGGATAACGTGAGGACGCTTAACTATCTGCATTTCCATTAACCATGTAATTACGCATATTGGAATTACGAAAAGAAATCTTGTAAAGGAAACATGGCAATTTTGAAAAAAAAAAAAAAAAGCACTAGGATAAAGTGTTTTTTACCAGTATAAAAATTAGAGTATTTCACAAAACCGCAATGGAAGCACTTTTTTTTTGCCTCACACGAGTCGTGATCAACAACCGGATGCTACTACTGGTGGAAAAGGTGAAGAAGATGACAGGACCTAGTTGGAGGATGATTTATTACATCAGTTTTTTAATGACATCATGTAAACAAACTTGTGTTTTTAATTGTGTTTCTTAATGGAAGCACATCAATTGCGAAAATGTGTTTGCTCGACATTTGTGTACCGACAGTTTTTCCTTCCTCCAGAGTTTTTCTCAGGTCATTAGGAAAACCCCTGATCCATGCTGGCACAGTGGAAACATTTATAAAATACACTATGTGTGCATCAGTTTTATACAATAAACCGATCAGGAAACGTGACAAAAGCACCTCATTTTCTACTCCTCTTCAGGCCGTTTATGTCAGGCATGTCCATCTAAAAGACAGAGACACAGAAATAATGCTGAGTGAGCTGTTTGTCTCAGGCACGTGAACTTCCAGTCGTTGACTAACCTGTGATGAGTTTCTGCCTTGTGTCACAGCTGCTTTTATTGGAGGACTGACCTCTCAGAGGGCTTCTGTACATTGTTTATCTGCACACACTCCTTCTTTGTTTATGCCTTCATCCCTTTTGAGTGCCAGGCCCTTTTTGACAAGATTGTTTAGGAGCTGTGACTTTACTTAGATTAGACTAAATGAATCTATATTTCTGGATAAATATCTGGACAGAAAAGTTGTATGGAAAAGTCTCCTCTATCATTTTTTCTGTAAATTCACTCAAGATAATTGTCGTAATTGTTAGGATTTGAGTTTTCTGTGTTTATTTTGAGTTTTTTCTGCTTATTGTGATCCTGTTCCCTGCGAGTCTGTGTTGTCCTATCTGCTCCCTAATTGTTTCCCAGGAGTGTCTAGTTCCCCTGATTTTACTCCCTGTGTATTTAAGTCCACCTATTGTCTCTGTCTCTTGTCAGATCCTTGTCGATTGTAAGTTGTCTGGTGTTAGTCTGGTCGTTCACAGTTGTACTGTCCAGTCCTGTGTCGGCGTCAGCTCCCATATCAGTCTGCAGTCTAACAGTTGCTACCGGTGTTTTTGAGCTAGCCTTTTCTCTGCCGTGCTGCCTGTTACCTGGACTGTTCAGAGCTCATTTTTTCATCATTAAACCTCATATTTTCACCACTACCTGGATCTCCCTGCGTTTATTCTCACCATCGCAAACCACCAAATCATGACAGACAACATACTTTGAGAAAAAAAATATACAAGATTACTTTGTTTTTCCCAATTTCCATGTTAGAGGAAAACGATGAATACAGATGAAAAAACAAGTGACAAACTGGAGGAAAATCTGTTAAACCCATCGTATCTAATGTTGCTTTGTTTGGAGCTGGATCAGGCTTTAAACAAGCAGTCTTGAGAGGTGCTTGTAGGCTAAGGTTAGGGTTCTATAGTAAATCATGAAACTCTTCTGATTTTTATCTCCACTAGACTAAGACATCAAATAATCTTTTATTCCTTTTATGTTTCTGGTAATGGCTCATTCCAATCAGCAGTTAAAATGTTATGTTAGGCTCATAAAGAAATGAGCTAATTACACTCCACCATGTTTCGTTTAATGTCTGATTATTTTCAACTTAACAAATTAAAGATTTAAGAATGTTTTTCCAGTGAGCAATATAAAGACTTAATTGAACAGGTCTTGTTTAATAAGTATTGCCAGGTAACACTTAACTAATAGCTTAGATTTTGCATTTAATGTACAGTGAGAAAAGTATCAGGGTATGTATGCTAAGTCACCTAAGAATGAGGCCATCATGATAGTAATCACTAATGTAGTCTCAAATGCATAACACAATGGCCACCAATAAAGAAAGTAGTCAAGTCTCCAGCTTTAAAAGAGACTTGTTTTGTATTCTGCAAATTATTTTGCATAGCTTTGCATTTCCTTTTAAGTCTAAAAACAGGCCAGCCACTTAAAAAAATACCAATGTTTTTTGGTCTGGAACCAATCTGGAAAATTAGTTGTTTTAAAAACTTCCAGAATGTAATGCCATAAATCAGCAGGCACTACTCCTGACCTAACAATCCCAGTTAAGCCCAGCCCGTTACGTAGCAACCCCAGCAAAACCCAACTGGTCACCTAGCAGCCTAAGCTGAGCTTGTTGGGTAAACTGGTTTTACTGCTCTATGCACTGTACAATGGCTGCTGGAAAAGACAAGTGTCTAGTTTTTGACTTACCATCCTGAAACCACTTGCTGCATCCTTGTTGGTTGTACAGGAGGCTCCAATTCTGCTTTTCAAACATGTACAATTGTATAATTGTGCATGTAATTGCAGCAGTTTACACAGGAAAGTGTAAACTTTGAGTTGGTGCCAGCAGCAGCTTATTTGGATTTAAAGTAACGAAGCAATAAAAACAGCTCATTCTGAAAGGTGCACAAAATAGGTAGAAATGACCTGGCTAAAATGTAATAAACATGTTTTGTATAACCCATAGACCTATAGCCTGTTCAAAGAAGCCTGATAGGTCATCTTTACTTTAAATTGTGAAGAGGAGAAAGACAAGAGGCATCTCTGGGACTCAGTTGCTTGGAGACTTGACAGATTTAAACTTGCATTCCATGCTGCTGTGATTCCCCACAACAGTGAAAAATTGATTGTGTAGAGCAATTTAGTGGTAAAATATTTATATCTGCATTCATTTGGTTCAGGTGCTTTGTACATTTAGTCGATGCTGCAGTTAGTTAAGCAAGCAAAGAAATGTTGGAAGAGATTGGTTATTGATTTTTTAAATAAAGTAATCCATGGACATCAGCTGATATTTTACACAGAGGACACATTAAAGAAAAAACATTAAAAAAAATGTTTTCTTACCTAAGATCTCCCCTTTTTCTTACCACAGATGTCAACAGTCAGTCATTGTCTGAGTGTTGATTCTACTAAAGCTTGTTGGTAAAGCAGTGACCCGAGTCCTCTTTTTCTTTTCCTGAGAAAGAAAAGACAGCAATTAATCTCATAAAGCTCGGGCTGATATTCTCTCAAATGAAGAGGGAAGTCCATCTTCTTCTCTTTTACCAATCTCAACCACCTTTCCTTCATATCTGCATACTTAAAGAAAGCAAAAGTCTCTACTTTGTTGCACATTCTTGTGGTATGTTCCCTTTTGAAACTTTCCAACTAGACAAAATGGTCTTGCATTCGCCGTTGAGCTATGTAATCGTTCCATCTGAGATAACTACAACTCGACATCCATTTGGTGGTAATTTGCTCTAAATACATCAGGAAAAAAATATTTTAAAAGGGCAATTTCCTTTGATTAAAAAAGAATTGTGTGTGATTACTTTATCAGAAAACTATCAAGATTTGCTGGTTTTCTATCACCAAAAAATTCTTTTGGACTTACAAGGCATTTCAGCATCTGCAATGTATGTGTCATGGGAAGACATGAGGAAGAGCAGATCGACCACCAGGTAAGTCAAACAAGGTTCTTTCTTTAATGAACAAGAGCTATGAGCACCACAATGTGCAAGAGTTCGCAACCCAGACTCACTCGGGAATAACAGCTGAACACAAAGGAGAATACCACGAAAACAGAGACACCGGTGAACTTCAATATACGCTGGGAAATAATCAAGAAACCAAAGACAGCTGTGAAGTAAAGGGTAATAATGAACACACAAAGATGGAAGAAATGAGCAAGAATGACAGGATCGTCAATAGTGACATGCCTCAAGGGTTACTGACTGTATTTTTAATCTATATATCTGCAATGTAGAACAGATTTGAATCTATCAGGATTGAGACGTTTCATGTAAAATGGAAAACATTTAGTAAGTTTATGTGGATTTTTTTTTTCCACCACCTTTCTTTTCGATAACAGTGACTAGCCTGACACTGTTATGATCTGTCCGTAAGTTTCTTGATCTGTTGACTATCAAGTTTGCTGTGTAGCAGCAATCACAGCCTCTCAGATTCTGTTCAGGTGGACTGTCTTCCTTCACTGTTCATCTTCCATTTCGTGCTCATGAGTTCTCAATGGGCTTCAGGTCAGGCAAGGAAGGGGGCCATGTCATAAATTGTTAAGCTTTAATGGCTTTATTGGCTAGCTATGCAAAAGACTACTTAGATGCATGTGATGGAGCATTGTCCTGCATTATAAAAACTGTCTTTATGTAAGATGTAGATTCATTCATAAAACCACTGCTTTAAGAAAGTGTCTTAAAAACTGGCAGAAGGTTTGAGAGTTTATTTTGAGTCCATCTTCAACCTGAAAAGGTTCAACCAGCTCATCTTTTATTGTATGGGGTCATCCCAGTACCCCACCTGGTATGCCCCCACCGGTGACTCCCCTCAGTGGAGTCACCGGTGGAGTGGAGTTCAGTGGAGTCACTGAACTCCACTCCAAGTGGAGTTCAGTGACTCCACTTGGAGTCACTGAACTCCAAGTGGAGTTCAGTGACTATTACTGATCCACCCATGAGCCCCACTTGATTGTCTGTTAAGGGTCTCTCTCATTTCATCCATAAAATCTTTAAAAAATATGTCTCCAGATATTTCTTAGCCCAGTTTGTGTCTTATTCACCATTTAATTGCATTCTCTTTTCATTATATTTAATTAATCAACACTAATCCACAAGTAACTGTGGGTTACTTGTGGATTATATTCTGCTGTTGCAGTGATGAAGCTTTGAAAAGAGGCAACTTTTCGCCAACTGAAGTTAATGAAGTCAGCAACAATACCTGATGCGCAAACACTCCCCTCTGTTGGAGAATAATCCCACAGCAGTGGTTCAGCTGCACTAGACCTGCTCCGAAGCCTCTTGTCCTTAATTCTTCAAACTGCCGCCATGAGCCCTCAGATAGTGTCCTGGTCAGACATGATACTCTGATGGAAATTTTTCTGTTATTGATTGATTTAGTGGCCTTCAAGATGTTCTCTGTGCGTAAAATTCAACCTGTCTGCAGCACTAAGTGGTCAAGTGTGTGTAATCTGTTAAAGTGACGGATGGGTGTCATATTTTGACCATTTAATAAACCAAAACAGAAAATATTTGGTTAATGCGCTGACCTGTTGGTGTTTTTCTATTTGGGTAGATTGCAACATTTTGTGCAATACAAATACCTGAAGCTTCACCCCTGCTCCCTCTAGCTCAGATTATGGAGAATTACAACAGATAAATCATGATAAACAGTGTTTTCCTCATAAAAGTAATAGAGTAGTAGAGAGTAGCAAACTTGAATTTGTTGTTTAGTGCTGCTGTTAACTGATTAGGATGAAGATCATGAGGTTTGCACTGAAGGTAGAACAGCGTAGAAAAGCAGGCAGAGGAAAAACCTAAGCCTTAATGAATCTGTTGCTGCAATAATAAACAGCATACTGGCAAAGCAGCTAAATGAAGTCAGCCTCTTTGGCAGAGTAACACAACATGGCATTCATGCTTGTAAATCAGGCAGAACTGAATGGAGGTGGACTGAATAGGAGGGAAATGAATAGAATCAGCAAAGGCAGGCAGAGATGGAGAGGGAAAGTGACACGTTAGCAGAGCCTGTCACACAGTTTTCAATGGAGCTTTAACCCAAGTGTGACCTTGTGCTGACACAGACTCACTTTTGTTGATGCTGCTCCATAAACCTCTTTTCTGCTGCAAATTAAGAGCCCACCATGGAACATTTTGTGAAAAAATAAGGAGCTTGCCTTATTTTTCAGCTTTGGTTTGATTGATTTTGGCTGAGTGGTTGGAAATTCATCAGCCAGCTGAGAGGAAAATAATGACATGTCCTTTGAGTACAGAGTTCTTTGTCACTCTGACTAAAGTAATTTCTCAGAAAGTTGAGTTGTTCTGATACGTTCACCTGGAGTAATGTCACACTGAGTTTCACACATGCAAACTAGGAATGTCAGTTGTATTTAAGCTGGGATATAGAGTACATGCCTCATTATAAATGACATGTTTATTTGTAGGTGTTAATTTTAGTGGCAATTTAAGATGGTGTGAATCTATAATCTATACTCATCTTTATAAAAAAACAACAAAAAAATATTAGGGATGTGTCGATCAGGTTTTTTTCCTCCCGATACCGATCACCCATGAGGGCCGATACACTGATACCGATCACATAATTATTATTATTATTACCATAAACAGTACCGGTT